CTCCAGGTAGTCAGGAGAACACGTGGAAGGGAAACAACATCCCTTCGGCTGATGGGAGTCTGTGCAGAGGAAGGCTAAGCGGAGGGAGGGGTTTTACTCACTATCCTTGCAGTGGAACAGCTTCGCTTCCTACTGGAAACGTATGTGATGAAAAGCTTCCTGCCGTGTTCAGTTACCCTTTGGAGGAGGCCAGAAAGGGGCCGTTGGCAGCACGACTCCAGAATTTAGGCAAGCACTGGAGGACCACCCCGGGGGCTGCCATCTGGCAAAAAATCAAGGTGGCTGAGGGCACGGCTGAGCCGGAGACAGATGTATTATCAACTTTACATTCCGTGGCCCAAGCTGGATACACTCCCCTTCACGTGAGTCTTCAAAGGTCAGCTTGGTAAGTAACTCGGAGGGGAGTGAGAAGAAGAGGATTCCCCGGGCCTCTGTGTTTCTGCAGGACCAGTGGTCCTGACCTTGGAGGGCTGCTCTGGCCACTGGCCGGACGTCCTTGGTCCAGGCCCAGCAGATGAAAGCAGGAAGCGATGTCTGTGAGCCAAGAGCTGAGTGTTTTCAAAAAATAGACCGGACGGGAGGAAGCAGCACGGGTTTGCTTTGAGAGCAGTAAACAAAACTTTGGCTGCCTGCCAGGGAGGAGCTGACATCTCCAGCAGATCCTGGAAAGCTTGGCGGCTGCTGGGGCCTCGTTAGGGCTGGGAATGGGCAGCAGGAGGGCTGCTGGGCAGGGGCAGTGGGGGGGGGGGGTGCGGCGAGGTGGGGGAGGGGTCGTCCCTTCTCCTCCCTCCCTTCCCAGGGAGGGCCATGGTCCAGAGGAAGAGGAAGAGCCCGGGCTGGCTTTGGTGTTTGGGATAAACGCCACCAGGGCTCAGCTCCCTGATGGGAAAAGAGGATGGAGGGAAACGGCCAGGCGGCATCTCCCGAACTCTGCCAGCAGGTGCTTCTTGCGGGACAGGAGCTCGTTCACGAGAGGGTCCTGTTACCACGGGGTCCTGCAGGGAGGGCCCGTCTGGGTCTTAGCCCAGGGCTTCCCTTCCTCCCTCACAAGGAGTCTGAGAGGGGCATGACCACATCCACAAGGATTAAAGAACTTTGCAAAGACAGACCCTTCCCTGGGGTTTGTCGTCCGGTGCCCTCGCAAATTAACTGGCCTCCCTCGCTTTTTTAGGGGAAAACCTGTTTCTGCACACCCCGCAGGACACAGTTATGAACCGAATCTCTAATCTTGCAAAGTCGCCGTGGGCATGACCACTTCTGGGCATCCTCTGGCCTCGCTGGGTGGTGAAGGTAGGTGGCCTGTGAAAAACACTGCCAGTGAGACGGCAACTTCATTAAAACCTCACCTTCGATTATTGTAACAGGAGGTGCCCATCTCCCCTCCTCAGCACACCCGGAAGCGTTCATTCCATGTGAGGACAAAAGGACCGTGACTCTTGTGTGTTTCACTTTTTTTGGACACAGCGTGGCCGTGCATAGCAGACATCACTGATGGTCATACTAACCAAGATCACAATAACGTGCTAACAGCAGTTATATCAGCGGATGAAGAAAATACACGGCCCGGCAATTCTGAATCACCCTGACTCATCACATGCGCTATCTTAAATGTAGGGCAATGGAAACAGCGTCATCAAGATCTAAAGAAGCAACGACCCCCTTTGTCTTTCAACTGGTGGCACTGAAGAGCGGAAATGACAAAGAAGTCGAACACTGGTATAGCTCAGGGTTTGGCCACAAAGAGGAATGAACCGCCTGCCCAAGTAGCCTGCAAACTTGCCAAGTGATCTTTAACCTGGGACTCAGGGGCTTCAAGACGGACTAGCTATGATCCTGCCGGACCCTTGAAGATGGTAACAGCATCACTAGATCACCAGGAGTCAATGTGCATCTTCCAAGCTGACCACTAATGGGTCAGAGTCAAACTCTCCCAAAACAGTGCAGGGGGGCCCTTGAGCCTTCAGTGCGGGATGCCCTGGAACCTAGCATTCTCCTCCAAGTTTATAAGTTGGTTTCTGGTGAATAGTTCCAGCATCTACGGGACTTTGAAACAACTCTTCGCTTCTTTATTTACAATCAACTTTTCTGGGTAAATACACTCGCCAATTCCTGCCTTGTACGACTCCCTTAGAATGACAGCCCTCTCGTCACTAAAATAGCAGATTTCAGGGATTTGAAACCCTGCAGATCATGCCTTCTTCCCGGTGCCGAACAGGAGCCCCCAGGAACAATCAGTCAGGGCACCAACGGGCCGCACGTCACCGACAAGTTCCCAGATGCCACACAATGCACGCCAGTCTGTGACTTAAACTCCATCATTTAAAAATCACCTTCCCGGGGCTTCCCTGGTGGCGCAGTGGTTGGGAGTCCGCCTGTCGATGCAGGGGACGCGGGTTCGTGCCCCGGTCCGGGAGGATCCCACATGCCGCGGAGCGGCTGGGCCCGCGAGCCAGGGCCGCTGAGCCTGCGTGTCCGGAGCCTGTGCTCCGCAACGGGAAAGGCTAAGGAAGTGAGAGGCCCGCGTACCGCAGAAAAAAATAAAAAAAAAAAAAAAATCACCTTCCCCATCGCTCTGATTTTATTTGTTCAAAAGAGATGACACCCATGTTATTGCATTACTATGATGCCCAGGTAAAGCGGAGGTACAGAAAAACGACTTCTAACAAGGAGGTGAAACCATCCTTGATGAAAACCAACAGACACCATTTTCGTATCTTCCACCTCCCGAACTGCACCTCTTGGCTCTGCTGACCTGACTGCCACATGCTCTGGATGTCATCTGTCCCGTGCCTGTGTCTCGGAAGCAGGATGGCAGCAAGCACACAGGCACAGGTTCCGGGGCTGTGCTTCTGCGTCTGAGTCCTGGTTCCGCTGCTAGTGAGCCCTGTGCCCTCCGGCGAGTCCTTTAACCATTGTGTGCCTCAGTCTCCTCATCTACAAAATGGGATGGCGAATGCCACCACCGAAGGGTGTGAGGGACGATGAAGGAGTGAGTGAGTATCTGTGCAGGACTGAGAACAGCATCCAGCACACAGGCAATGATTCTACGTTTGCTGAAGTGAGTAAAATATTCTTTTTTTAATTAACACATCGACTTTTCATAAATGTTGTGATGTGTGGGGTATTTTCTGGTTTCCAGAATACAAATATTAAGTGAATAGGTCACACAGTCACAAAGTGTTTTTAAAGAACCAAATATTTACTTAACGACCCCAAACGCCAGAAGAGTGGCTTGATGTCAAATTCATTATCCACACAGGAAAAAGCATTCTCCAGGCTTTCTTCATTTCATAAATAATGTATTTTATTGTATTGCATATGGCTATTAAGGAGAGCATCCATGATCATTACAGACTAAATACAATGCACTAGTCTAGTTCCATTGAGTCTGGTTTCCAGCAGTGCCATATAGGCCCTTATATACAGCAAGGACAGTGGAAGACAGCAAGAGAAGGTCAGTCTTTTGTCATATCACAATAGCAAGAAATATATTTAACATCTTGATCTCCAGAAACAATACGTACCCCAAAAGAAAACACTGTTTAATAACTGTTAAAGTTTATATAGCAAAAAATATTTTAAATTTAAGGTAAGTCAGGCAAAATGTACAAAGACCCAATATACATTGTGAAGTTTTAACAAACATAACATTTATACATTTTGGTTCCATTCTGTAAACTAAATTAAAAATGTAAATATTGCATATGCCTTTTTTTTTTGAAATGTACAGAAGAAAATTTAGTATATTATCAACTTTTTACTTCGCTTGTTTAAAGTTGCAGGAGGAACATGAACCATGGGAAGGGTGGCAGGACCAAGTGAAGGATGGGGAGAGCTACTTAAATACGAGTCAGACACTGCGATCAGCAGCGCCCACGTTCAGTCCTATCTACGGGGGGGTTGTGTGTGGGGGTGGTTTCCATAGCAACTCCATCCATCCCGAGTCCCAAAACTAAACCAAAACTTTAGGACATTTTAATAAAGTCTCTCTATATTACACACTGAAAATGACCATCAAACTAACGTGGTATAGTTTACGCGCTGTTGTGCTGTGTGATTCTCTAGAAAAGTGAAACTTGGAAAATGCTCAGGGCGATCACTTTACATTCAACTTTGTCTTGCGGTACAATCCTCTGTTCTAAAAGGTCAGCATGGCAGGAGAAAGACTTTTGCATTGCAATTAAATACATGTTTAAGACATTGAATTTTTTGGTCTTCCTCTAGAAAAGCCTCATTTTATGAATGCATTATTCTATAGTGATATCTATCTATATATTTATATATATTTTTCTCCCACCCCCCCCCCAAAAAAAAACCCCAACTCGTATCTCCAATGAATTCATGTAACCTCTACAGGACTCTCAGAGAAGAGGCACTGGGGACCCAGACACGGGAGGGGGGCTCTAGAGCTCCCCCGACGTGTCAAGGCAGCAGAGAGATGCCGTGACATCCCGCAGGTCAAGGGCAGCGTTTCTCCCCGACACCCGCGGTAACTACCACCACACCGATACTTTCAGCACACTGAAAACATGTGCAATAGGGGTAGCCTTGTCGGGAACTTTTTTCACAAGTGACATGTACTGTAAGATTGTTTTTCTTCTTCCTTGTCTATTAATAACATAGGGGCCAGAATGCCTCTTTTATCAGTTCCTTTGTGTGTGTGTGTGTGTGTGTGTGTGTGTGTGTGGCTGGCTGTTGTTGAGGGCAGCCTCGTTGCCAGACACAATAGCATCATAGTAAAGATAATACATTTTAAAAGAAATCTGCCAAACCCTTGACCAGCCTTGAACCGCTAGCATGCCTACGTGAATTTTTGGTTAGAGAAATGCAAGCTCAGGATTAAGGATAGCAGAGACGTTTGAGCTTGTAAATAGGATCAAAGGCGTTTGCAATTTGAAGTACCTACATAAACATCTACAGAGAGAAGATTAAACAAGTCTGTTAAAGGTAAAAAGAGATACTCACCCCCTTCCCAGACCCCACCCCTCCCACCCCCCCATCCCCCAGTACAGCTGATGGTTTTCCAAAGTAGGTTGCTTCAGTTACATATAATAATTATTATTTATCCATCCATCTTCAAAGTCCAATCTCAAATTTCATCTCCGTTGGGAAACGTCAGTCCCACGCTGGGCTCTGTCTGTGAGTAAACACGCAGGTACCTGGGTTGGAGTCTGACAAGCAGCTGTGTACCGGGCCTGTTCGATGAGGCAGATGACCGCGCTGGGACTCTAGGTACCCAGACGTCCTGCCGGCCCCTGACCACACCGATCTGGCTTCACCTGGAACTGAGGTAGGACGGTGGTAGTTTTGAGAGGATGCCAGTAAATACCAGATTTTACCACTTTAATGCGAATTGGTAGAATCTCCTAGCATGCTGAGGGATATATCTGCTTTGCCAAAATGAAAATTAAGGAGAAATTAAGACACTGGCCACAACGGAAAAGGCCGATGAAAACGTCCAATTTTCTCGTGAATCACTCCTTCCGCTAATTTTGTCGAAAAACAAAACACAACACGACCAGCACAAGGATGAATGCCCCCTGTGGGAACGAGGGATAGAGACGGTTCCACGTCTAATCCAGAGGCGTCCACACGTGGTAATCGCTCAGATTCAAAAGGAAACTGAGCAGCTTCAGATTTTAAAAAAATGCTGAGCATCTTCTGTTCATGTTTTTCTCTGATGTGTGTCGTCACGGGGATAAAGCCAGGCAGATCTTCACTCTGAAAGAGGAAGAAAAGAAGTCAGCGGGGCCGCTGTGCACACAGAGCCATCCTACTGCGGGAGACGAGGCCCCTCTCAACCCTCCTTTACCATCTGTGTCACTTTCAGGAAATGATCCACTTTGGGAAACAAACTTTTCCTCATTCCGTTTTCCAGAGACAAGTTCAATGGGTAAACTCCCCTTCGGTTTCCCCAGGAGCAGGGCGACTGGGTTTACAGTGAGTTGGGAGATCCATAAAGTGAGGTTCACATTTTCAATGCAAGAAAACCATTCATGATTCTACCCTTGGGAGAGGGGCTGAGCGACCTGGCAACGGCCCCTTAAATGCCCAGGTCTCAGTTCTTCGTGCGGACAGAGGGGGAGAAACCACTGCTTTCCTCACAGGGCTGCGGAGAGGATGAAAACCACGCCACGTGTCACCGCGTGTTCTCAGCTACACGGATAATGCCAATGTGGGTCGCGGTAAGAAAGTGGGAGAAGTAATACGTTCACACTTCTGCCCTCGGAAAACCCTTCCCACTGGGTACTCTATCCTGTTGCTAAAACGACCCAAGATTCAAAAATAAGCCCCCGTTACACACCCGCTTCCTCTGCCCTTGGGCGGAGCCAGCAGGACCCTCACCAGCTTCAAGTGCTCCCCTCTTTCTGGGCTGAAAGATCAAACTTCCTTAACTTTTTCCCAGTCCCCAATGTTTTCAGCATATTTTTACTGGATGTGTTTGTCCCTTTAGAGGACACACCAACTGGAGAGACTGACTGACATTTCACAGCATACTGCCTTTTTTTTCTTTTTAAGCCTCTTGGCTTTTAAACAAAAATGCCAAGTTGTTCATCACTCCCCATGCTGGTAACTACTTGGTCACATGCGTGCCCGGTGGGTCACGCCCCACCGTAAACAGAGCAGTGTCTTCCTTTGCTTAACCTGCACCTCTGAATATTCCTCTAATATCACTCAGAATTCTGCGCTCGGCGCTCACCACACTCCTGGATTTGCTTTTATTGTGTGTCTACTTCTTTTCTGTTCATCTTGAGTTCAGAGGACTAATCCCAGCAAGAGAGAAACTTCCAGTATCCCACAGCCAAGGGTAAGCACCTGCTCTGTAGCCCAGCAGAACCCAAACAAGAGCCTGTGTAGACACGTGCTGTCTACACGCAACATAAATACTGTATCTTTTCATGACGTTTTCAGAAGTTCCCTACAATGTGACATTTTGAGGCAGTGCCACTTCATTATTTTTAAAAAAGCTTACGTCCTTTAAGAAACGTAACAAGTAAACTGTTCAGCACATGAAACTTAATGGAGAACAGGGTCCCAAAGTTCCTCCGAAGGGAAGATGTGTCTCCAGCTATTTTATTCATTATTGTGATTTCTGGTGTCCTAAGAGACTCTGGTGAGAACCTGAAGGTTAGTGTCCCTTAATAAATACAGCATTTGCTAAAATCCACCTGGACTTCAGTCTCACCCTAAATGAGTTTGCATTTTGTCACTCAGGCCCTGACTGTGAAAAGAATCTGACGGCCACCCTAGAGGTAGTACTACCCTGTGGGTCCACTTTCAGAAGGTTTCTATTCAGAGTTTATTTTATTTTTACACTAACGATTAGCTAAATGTACCTAATTGTCTCCTGTTAACGCTAAAACCCCATTACCTTGAAAACAGCTAAGCAAGTAAATTCTTTAATCCCTCAAACTCAAACACACAGAGTTAATTATTGCTGAAAAACTTACATTCCTTTACTGCAAACTCATAGGGCCATGGACATTTTTGCTGTGTTTTTAAGGATGCTTTATTGCTATGAAATAATTATCATTAGACCGTCATGAGCTCTAATCAAGTTGAATGTGTAACTTCATTTTTTTGAAGTACAAACAACACAATTGTCAAAACCTTAATTTCTAAGCACTAGCATTATGAAAGAAAAGAGCTGCTAAGAAGCAAGGAAATAATTCATGCATTTATTCACACAATGACCTTTCAACATTACTTCCAATTCTGCTCCGGTGCAGGGCCTCTGTGAGGCACACGGGAGAATGATGAGGTAGAGAATGGGAGTCACATGACAGCTGTTTTCTGGGCAGGGAAGGAAGCAACTCTTTCAAAGGTGTGCTGCCCTCTGCAAACACCTGCATTCTGAAGGATGCTCGGCTGCAGTTACCAGCAAAGGGAGAAGAAAGCTCTTCCAAGGGCACAAGAGAGATTCGGGCTGTCGGCCACCCAGTGAGTCAACTTGATGTGGGGACAGTAAGGAACATGGTCCCCTAAGATGCTGAGCCGTGGGCCGAGCAGCCCCAGGCTTCCACAGAAGGGAAGGGCCAGGGATGTGGTCCCACACATGGCCAGGGAGAGCCACGGATGACTGGGGAGGGAGGCTGAGCACGCGCGCACGTGCACGCACGCACAGGTACCATCACAGGGAGGGGGATTCATTCACGGCACGTGGGAAGGACGTGAGCAGCCTCAGGCCAAGGAGACCAGAAAGAGGACGGCCACCAGCTCAGAGACAGATGTCTGGGCGAGAGCTGTGCCGTGCTTCACATATCTAAGCGTATAGATGTGCCCTGGAGCCAACACATCGACCCAACGTGGATGCAATCTGTCTCCTACTGGGTCATATAACAGTGGCCTTGCACAGACACCTCGAGGCAGAGAGCCTCCGAACTTCAGTCCATGCCACCCAAGTCACCTGCCACTGAAACCTCTTGGGTTCACCCCCAACTCGCGGGGAGATCCTCCTGCACGCACCCCAGCAAGAATCCGGACCTAGGATCACCGGGAGGGGGCCACTCGGGGAAGATGCCTGGGATTCGGGGCTCAAGTGCGTCAAGCAAGCAGACTCTCTGCGGCCAGGCGAGCAGCCAGCCAGCAAAGCCAGACCCGCCTGCCACGAGCCGCCTCTCACTGCTGTCGCTCCATCCCGCATCCTAGGAAGAAGGGGACGGAGGCAGGAGCGGGGACCTGGGAATGTGAGCCCACTTTTGCCTTTTATTTAGTTACTTCTAAAGTAAGTTAAATTACCCCTCCCACTGAAAATTAGTCTGCTTCAGCCAACTAGAAAAAAAAATCTTCCAACACTGCTAGCCCATCACACTCAACTGTTAAATATGTGTGCTTCGTAACAATGAGGTTCCAGCAAAATTTTATTTATTTTATGACCTATGTTAATTCTACTAGAGGCAAAGAACCAGTGATCAATTTCACAATTCCTCCACGGTGAATATCATTAAGATGGGAGACGTTCTCTGAACTGTGAGGGTACAGGGGCGACACAAAGAAGAAATAAAGGCCAGAACCATGTGTTGCTGGTGAAAATTACAGAGTAACATGCACCAGTTCTGAATCTGCTCCTAGATGTAATGCTTCTAAAATAATTTAAATTTATTGATACACATTGCATTTGTGGTATAATTACACACTGTACTTGTTCTGTAGCCTAGACATTGCTTCATAAAGAAACTCATTCATGGAAAGCATCAATCTAGAGTTATTTGATTGAAAAAAAAAAAAAAAACTTTCAGCACAAAGATTGACGTTGTTCCATATGGCATGTCACGCAGCCCAGCTATCCTTTTCCTTTTCGCTCTGTGACATATGACAAATGACGTTCATATGAGGGATACAGTCCCTTATGCAGTTATCCTAACTCCCTACGGACCAGCGCTAATTCTGCCCTTTCTCTTCCATTTAAAAGACCAATCAGAATGCAAATGAGCACGGGTGTTGTCAACAAAGGCCCCACCTCCAATTTGCTCTATTTTACAAAAAAAAAAAAAAAAGGAAAGAAAAAGAAAACAATCACTGAAAAACTCTGTCCTTGAGCCCAGTGGGGAAGCTCCCTAGCCACGGAAGGCTCGGATGTCAGAACACGGCCACATCACACCACCGCCGAGCTGGCCTCCAAGATCGCAAACACTTCAGTGGAAAATGCAGTGAGTGTCGGGTCGAGAAGGTTTTAGAAATAAATCGGGTAAACGTGCTCAGGCAAATAAACTCAAGCAGCATTCTGGGAGCATGTTCTGACTCACGGCTCTTTTTTTTAATGATTTCTTATGATTACTTGGGTTTGGATGCAGACAGAGTCCCATGTGGGGCTCCATGACACAGCAGGAGGGAACGGGGCCTGGTCTCATGGGCCTTGGGTGAGCAGCAGTGGACAAAACAGACAGCAAACCCACGTAGCAGGTACCAATGACTTACTATTTTCAGGCAGATCTGAATGAGGACCAGTGCAGACACTTATGTGCATGACAAAAATGAAACACTATACTTCTTAAGATTAAAATTTATATTTCTAGTAGCAACTATGATTGAAAAAAAAAATAAACCCTATGGTGAGCCCAAACATGTCCTTCAGGTCCATTGAGACTTTTTATGTTAAACACAGAATGACGGGAGAAAATAAACTTTTCTGTTACATGAGAAATTCCTAGAAAAGTCAACCTGATAATTCAGTATCTCCTCACTTTACTAGAAGCAAAAACACTCTTAGAATATACCAAAAAGAAAGTAAGGTCGGGTGTGATAACAAGCCAGGGATTCTAAGAAAAACGGTTACTTGAACTTTGCAAGTGGAAAAAAAAAATAACTTAAAAGGAAAATATGGAAGCACAGGGTTCCCAGGACAAACAGGCTCAGTAACTGACTTCACCAACCCGACTCGTGAAAGATTTAGAAGCTTCTTGGAGTTGAGCTCATCATTTCCACTGACAATTAAAATCATTTCATCCGGAATGCTTGTTATTGAAGTCATTTCCCAGCATCAAGTTGCAACTTGATGCTAATGACACAACGTGAAACAGGATGAGACAACCAAGTTCTCACGTGAGGCTGGGGTTAATGAAAGGCATCTCTCTTTCTTTAGCTCTTGTTTAATCCTTCACATAAGACCCTGTCTTAATCACCAAAGACTAGAGCAATCAGGTGTCCTAGACTGTTACCGCACTTCAAATTTCCCCCCATTGTCCAAGTTTCACCCACAGCAACCAGCATAAACTTTATAG